AAAAATTACTCTATATATGTGTATTGTTCATGTTATTTATCAATTCAACCATTTTTTATATACCATATCCCCTTTATTTCCTCAATATGTATCAGGTAATATCCTATTATTCTATATTGATGTAATAATTAACGTGTTTTTTTATTATTTTTACAAAACATTTACATTTTACTATAGATGATATCTTTCATTTTATCTTATGAAATTTCTTCTCATAAAAGAAAATATATCAGGTCCCGATGTTTATTATCCTTTTTAATTTTATTATTAACGTATATTACACATGATAGGCAGTGTACGCTTCCAAGGTTGGTGTAATCATATATTCAACAATAATTAAAATTTATATATACAAATTATGAAAATAATTTATTCAAGATATTTCTATTATAACATTTATTCAATATATATATAATAGTAAAAACATTCACCATATAATTCCTCTTAAATAACCACAGCACTCAAACATAACATATTCCACATATCCTTATAATAACAATATGTATACAGATTTACATCGAACACTTTTACTTTTAAAGATATATTATTAGAAAAAAATTATCTCCATATATAATGTAAACAAGTTTATATATCTTAAAAACTATGCTACATATTTTTTTAATAAAAAATATAGCAGAATAAATATATATTATAACCCAACAGAGTAAAACCTTATGGTACAATAATTTGATATGACGCATAGTTATTCTAAAAATGTGAACAATCGGTATAAATTCATAAGTATATATATATTACCATATAAAAAAAAAATAATAAGAGTTCAGAAATAATTATTACAGTATATATATATATTACCATAAAAATATATTCAATATCTTCAGTCCCTTAATTAAAATTACACATAATATCTCACAAGTATTAAATTGAGTGAAATTAATCATTCAGAATCAATCTATTTTCCAACTATATTACTATATTCATATACAGTGTGATAACGTATTCTAATGTCACTGTGTTTACAATTTTCAAGTATTCATTCTCATAAGTATAAATTAACGCGTATCATTTAATAAAAATTAAAATTATAACATTTAAAATTAACATATACTCATTACAATTAAAACATTTGCAAATATATAAATACTCATAATAAAATCTGATATTACTAGAACAAAAAAAGTGAACCCTGAACGCTGAATCCCCTAAACCTAAAGTATATAACCTGAAACTCTAATATCATATTCCTATTTGTTTTGATGCAGCTGATTAAACTTTTTTTCATATATTAATGTATATTAATATTTAATTGTATAATAAATAAATATTATCCAATTAAATAATATTTATGTAATATTATTAAGCAATGTATCTGGTAATTTACTTAATATACAGATAATCAATTATACACACAAATTTTATACTTTGTATTGCAGTTAATAATATAAGAAGTGCTATGTTATCATATACTATTAATGGTTTAATATTAAGGAATCCATTTTTTCAAACGAATGATACATATTTATATATTTTTTCTGTACTTATTGTTCTAAAAATATATATAATTACTAAGGCGATACAGATTTTATCGTATGACTCTTAAGAGTAATATAATTTTATCGTATAAACATTACATTTTAGAACATATCTATTAAATATTTGATTGTATAATATTTACTAATTTATATTTCGTATGTAGTACACTTATATTTATAATTCTCAAATATAATAATTATACAATAATATAATTTAATAAGTCAAGCAAAACTTTCCTAGGGGAAGAAATTTAATTAAATATTAAAATTCATAATAGAACAAAAGAACATATATGTATACCGTTACTCGTTGCTTTAGTGAATAAATACTAATAGAGACATTATTTATAAAATTAATTTTTTTTTTAGATAAAATATAATGACACTTCCTGAAACAAATAAAACGGTACCTTATTATTTTTTGGAATATATAAACTACGTAATATTACTTGAACACTATGGACAATTTGAGAATAAAATTTATCTTCTCAGATTTCTATAATATATGGATTCATCATTATTTATATATTATTTATTAGTATATTAACTGGAAAGATTACATCTTTTTTAGGGATTATTTGGAAAGATTGAAAACAATTAAAAAAAATTCTAACGATATTGATAATTTCATTAAGCACAAATCAGTTCCCCTATATGATGTAGAACGCCATAATTTTATTAATATTTGTCATGAAATAAGAGAACTTTTTAGGATTATGTCTTCTAATGATACTTATGACAACAGAAAATGTTGTAACTATATTAACTACTATATTAGACACCAAATTAAAGAGAATTTTCCTACAAAAGAATATGAAATTTTTGAACACTTTAAGAATTATGTTGAAAGTAATATAAAAGATCAATCTTATAAAAAATGTGTGCCGGAAATAAAATATATAGGAGAAGCAGAATTTGATAAAATGAATGAATTAATTGAGCTATATGATCATTATGAAACCAATTTATATCCGACTTCAGTAGATAATAATGGTCCTTCTATTGATTGTAAAGATTTAAATGATTTCATTGAAGATTATAATGAAAAAGTCCAAAAACATATGGATGATATACCTTTCCACAAAGAATTAAATAATCTCAGATGCTCAATTGAAAATAATGAGTTATTCAATGATAATTGCGAAAGTACTTTAAGAGGAATATCAAAAAATGAACATTATCCATCTGAGATAAAACATTGTGATGAATCTCTAGAAAAAGAATATTTAAAGAAATACACAAAACCCACTTATTCGTACTTTAGTACAAACACATATATTCAACCTACTAATATGAAAGATATAATAGCAATTACACTTAGTAGTGTAATTTTAGGAACACTACTTTTTTATATCTATAAGGCTAAATATAATTTTATTTAAAATTTTTTGTTTTTTACAGTTAACATTATTATTTATTTTAAAAAGTAAAAATGGATTCATAAAGTAATTATAGCTATAAAATCAATATATATTTTTTTAATATTAGTTTACTACAGCAAGAAATTATTTACGAAATCGCTTTCCAAGAATGAGAAGAATGAATAGAAATAAAAAAGAGGAAACATACCAACATGAAATGTATAACAGAAAACATTATCATAGGGATTTGAAAGAAAAATGTTATAATGTATTATATGTTTCAGAAAGAAAATACTAATATACTTATTTAAAAAGATGATGTATCTTTTATACGATTATAATTATATTACTGAATATTAGTTAACTAAAATTAGAAAATTCCATATTTATATATGTATGATACCAATAATCGTACTAAAAAAATAAAATTATATATTAAAATACAATATAAAGGGAAAAAATGATACGAAAATATATAAAATGATCTAATATATAAATAAAAAAATGAATAAATAAAATAACACTAAATGATACTTATCATGAATTTCATGTTAGTTTGAATATTTTTAAAATAAAAAAAATACAAAAAATCAATATTTTTACATAGTTTTAAGGTAATGTTCCAGGATTTATATTTAGAGATGTCTTCTATTATAAAGATTTTTGTTTCTGTTATGTTTTTTTTATCTTTTATCATTCATTTCTCATCTGAAAAATATATATATGTATATATATATGCATAACA